CAATTTTAAGTTGCCTATGTGGCTCCCTTTCTGGTTCAGTGGGGCAGTGGGAGCCACGGAAGGTTATAGAGAAGAGGAAAGGTCCAACCCTAGACAGGACAGATGAAGCAAGTCTGTAGGAGAAACAAGAAGCAAAGCCCAGAAGGCCCCTGTGCGTGGGTGGAGCAGGGGGGCTGCCGGTCTACAGGGCAGTCTACAGAGGGGGTTAGCCAGGAGTGCAGAAGTGGGGTTAACAGGACCACACGACATCTTTGTGAAAACAGGTTCAGGTTTAAAAATGACAGTAACTGTGAAAAGTGGTTAAGGTGTACCGTCAAGTTCCTCTGACACACAGGAACAGAAACGCAGAAGGAGGAGGGAAGACAGGCCACAGACACCAGCCCCAGGACAACTCTACCAGGCTCAGCTCCCAGGTCGGCCGATGTCCCCCCCTCGCTGGCCCCAGGAACCCCCCTCAGTCTGTGGACTGGGCTCGAGGAGACTTCAGCTGGGGGAACACAGCCGCCTCGTGCCCCTGAGTAATTTACATCCGTGCTGAACGGCAAGAACTCACTGTCCCTTCCTGTCTCAGGAAAGGCAGACCCAGAGCTGCCTGCACGATTTATTATGAAAACTGAGTCATACAAAAAACCGCAAGGGCAGAAACCGCTGTGTGTCCAGAAAGCCTAAAATAGCACAGTTTGCCGTGGTTGCAAAGGGAGTGCTTTGGGTGGGGAAATAGAAGGTCTTGGGGTGCCCAAAATTCTGCAAATAGTTTGGGTCAAACCACTGGGAGGCCATGGCTCAGAAGCAGAATTCCTCTCCTTCAAGACCACCGCCTCTCTCCTCCAAAAGAAAAGAAATGCAGCTAGAAACCGTGTTGCTGAGAGTGCATACCCAGGTGCTAGGAAGCTGGGGAGAGGAGGGGGGTGTTCCGTCCGTGACATCTAAAGGAAGGAAGGGCCTGAGCTTCTGGTTCTGGAAGTTAAACACCTGTCCCCCACCATTTTATTGACCATCATCATCATTCTTGGGGTCACATCCTATTTTCTGGAACTTCAGGACACTGTCTCTTGGGAATATTGCTTTTGGATCAAACAGCCACATAAATACGCTTGTAATTCCAAAAAGAATGAGAGCAACGGGTTAGAATGGTGAAAGAAAAGAAAAGAAAAGAGAAAAGAGAAAGAGAGAAAGAAAAGAAAGGAAGGAAGGAAGAAGGAAGGAAGGAAAAAGGGGGGGAAAAACCATAACCAGCTGCTTTGAAAGCTTTCTAAATAAATTCCACAGCCTGCCTCCCTCCAGGCCCCAGGCCAGGAAATGCCACTTCAGTCTGTCCTGTTTCTTTATTTTCTCTCCTCGACTCCATCCCATTTCTTCTTAATTTGGATTCCCTCAGGGGCAGGAGGCTCACATAGCTACCCACTTAGCCACCCTTCCAGAAAGGATTTGTTCAACTGGCCTCTACCCACTCCTCCTCCACCCCCTCCTCACCCCCACAACATGAAACTCTTCAGAGCAGCACACCTGCAGACACAGACACACACAACATACGCATATGCAAAGACACACGCATGCTCCACTGTCATCAGAGAACCAGTTATCATGCCAGAGGAGGCCAGGCCGCCTGTGCGCTGAGGCACTACCACAATTCCATCTAATACTTGCAACCCTTTTCCTGGGACAAACTGGAAACCACAAGAAAAACATCTCTGAATTTA